GGTGCATTCTTCAACGCAACAGCAACAAAAACCGCACACGCAGCGTTTTCTTATCGCTTGCTTCCGCGTAACTCAATTGCTTTAATTGCAATTTACGAAATTTCGTCGCTTGGCGCGAGTGCGCCTGCACTCAAAAGCACAATCCGCGATGACATCTAATGTCAATGACCTCGCTACACCCGTAAAGGTAAATGCAGAAATGCAAGCCCAGCTTAACGTTGTGATGGCAAATAGGCAAGCCTCCATCATGCCAATAAACTCAAAAATAGATATCGCCTCCGTGCAAGGCATCACTAACAACAAAAACACGAAACGTAAACAGCCAAATTCACCAAAAACCATCAAGAAAAGGCTCATCTTCGACGAACCAAGCACCAGCAATGCAGCATTAATATCAGAAAATCGATTTTCACTGCTCGTAGAAGAAGATGAAGACTACAGCGAATCACCTGTAGCTCCAGAAGCCCCAGTATTGACCGACCAGCAAACTACACCGAAACCTCGTCCGCCCCCCATATGGTGTCCAAACATCAAGTCTGTGGCCCTACTTCAACAGATAATAGATAAAGTAATTGATGCTAAATCATACGTAATTAAGCCAAAGAAGAATAACATAGGTGTATTAACCCAATGCAGTGAGGACTATCGCAGAGTTATAGACCACTTTACTAAGCTGGAATTGGAGTTCCACTGCTACCAGCTTAAGGAGGACAAACCATATAGAGTCGTGTTCAAAGGGCTTCACTCCAGCACTGATACAACACTAATTAAAAAGGAATTGGAAACCAAAGGCCACACAATTACAAATGTGCACAACCCACTGAGCCGTATGGACAAAACACCGCTAAATATATTTTTTGTTGACGTGGCTCAGGCCCCCAACAACAAAGAAATTTTGGACATTCGAGTTGTCTGCAGGCAACGCTGCACAGTGGAACTGCCAAGAAGATACAACGACCTGACACAATGCCATCGCTGTCAAGAATTTGGACACACACAACGCTACTGCCACAAAGCTCCCAGATGTGTGCGTTGCGCCGGGAAACACGCATCCAAAGACTGCACCCGCGAAAAGGACCAGGCACCAACTTGTGTGCACTGTGAGTTACAGCACCCAGCCAACTATAAGGGCTGCCAAGTATACAAGCGGTTGCGCAAATTGCAATCCCCAGCACAAAAAAGGAGTCCCACACAAACACCGCCTACGGGTCCGAGTACTGCTTCCGAAATTACAAGGCCCCGGAGCATTACCCAAGCCACGAGCTTTGCAACGCCTATTAGTGGTGTTTCTTACGCACAGGCCGCTAGAGGTGGACCGTCAAATAAGAATACCACAAGTGACACTTTGTTCACTGAAATGCTTCAGCAACAACAACGTCAGTTTGACGCAATTAATGCCGAGCTCAAAGCGATGCGAGAAGTACAATCCCAACAAGCAACCATGCTAAACAGTTTAATGGCCATCATAACCAAGCTTGCCTACAAATAATGGCTTTACGTGTGGGTATCTGGAACGCCAATGGCCTGAGAAACAAGACTCAGGAACTGGCTGCGTTTCTCTCACAAGAAAACATAGATATAATGTTAATAACAGAAACTCATGAGTGCCCCACTACACAAATTTTCGGATACGAACACTATCAGGCTCATGGTGAAGGAGCAAACTGCTTTGGTGGATCCTCAATCCTCATACGAGCAACAATACCGCATACACCTTTACTGCCAATTTGCAACGCAACAATGCAGGTCTCAGCCATCACCCTGCCTACGTCTATTGGAGCGATCGAAGTTGCGTCAATTTATCTTCCGCCAAACACTGGTCTGTGTGATCATCACATGGAACAGGTTCTAGGCCAAAGGTTGAATAAGACCCTCATCGGCGGCGACTGGAATGGATGGCACCCATTTTGGGGAAGCAATAGTGCGAATCGTCGCGGAGAAGTCATATTTGAGGCGATTCAAAACTTACAATTCAGCATATTGGCGACTGGAGCCCCCACCCGTTACCCAATTAATGGACACAGGCCCTCGGCAATCGACTTCGCTGTCTACAAAGGCATCTGTGACCGGCAATTGACCATTGAAGAATCCTTGGACCTATCCTCTGACCACCTGCCACTAATAGTCACAATCCACGCGCAGCCACAGCCCTTGCCCATTAGGAAACAACTACTGCCAGCAGGATCAGATTTAGGAGTCTTTAGGCGCGAGCTCCATTACTCTTTGCACATAGAAATGGAACTTAACACTCCTGAAGACGTGGACTACGCAGCAAACAAACTGCAGGAAGAAATAGTCAAAGCTGCGCACCAAGCCGCCCCACCATCTTGCCAAACAAGACAACAGTCTCCGTACAACATCCCCCTCACCTTGGAGGCCCAACACCTACTAATACACAAAAGATGGGCCAGGAGACGCTGGTTAAGATTACGCACGCCTGATGCCAAATCCATGTACAACGAAGCCACGAGGCATCTTAAAGCTGCTCTCGCCCTGCTTCAAAAGAGGTGTATCAGCGATGCGCTGGTACGAGCTGAATCGCCCACTGACGCAGAGTTTCAATTATGGAAATTTACAAGAAAGCTCAAACGGCAGCCAATACGTCGTCATCCCATTCGGAGCATTTCTGGTTCCTGGCACATTGGAGACGAAGCTCAAGCTGAGGCTTTTGCAAACCACCTTCAAGACCAATTCACGCCGGTGATTACCGCAGAGGCCTCAGAAATCGAAGCAACAGAAGACATCGTTCTCTCGCCCCTCCCAGCTGAAGACCAGATAACTGGATGTACAAAAGAAGAGGTTCTTGAACACATCAGAAGAGTGAAGGCAAAAAAATCCCCTGGATATGATCTAATAAACGGCAGAGTCCTTAGAGCACTGCCTGACTCCACCATAGACTACATAACTATGGTGTACAACGCCATGCTCCGCATCCGGCACTTTCCAGCCTGCTGGAAGCGCGCCGTGATTGTGATGATTCCTAAGCCTGGCAAACCCGTGGGAGAAATTGAGTCGTACAGACCAATTAGCCTGTTGCCAGTACTCTCCAAAATATTCGAAAGAATATTTCTGGACCGAGTACTGACACATCTGGGACGCCAGGAGGCCATTCCAAACCATCAGTTTGGCTTCAGGAGACAGCATGGAACACCGGAACAGGTTCACAGAGTTGTGCACCATATCCTTGGAGCCTTTGAAGAAAAGATGTACTGCTCTGCCGTCTTTTTAGACATCAAACAGGCGTTTGATCGAGTTTGGCACCTGGGACTGCTGCAGAAAGTGAGGACCACCCTTCCAGCCCCATTTTTCGCGTTGCTATCCTCATACCTTATTGGAAGAACCTTCCAAGTGTCAAGGGGGCAAGCAGTATCCTTGACTAGACCAATTATGGCTGGAGTACCACAGGGTAGTGTTCTAGGCCCAACACTTTATACTTTATTCACAGGAGATATGCCAACTCCCGAGCCAAATATAGGAAGTACAGATGCAGTACTCATAGCGACCTATGCAGATGACACCGCCATCTTATCACGTCACGTATCTGCGCAAGAAGCTTCAGACTCACTACAAAAATATCTGGACTCTTTCGGACGCTGGGCAAAACGGTGGTGTATCACCATTAATGCACAAAAGTCTGTACATACTACCTTCGCCACTAGAAGAGGAGATTGCCCAAGCGTTGCATTGGGGCCCACTATTCCCAAAGCCTCAAAAGTAAAGTACCTTGGTATCACTCTTGACAGAAGGCTGACTTTTAAAGCGCACATAAGTCAAGTAACCTCAAAATGCAAAAGCAAGCTAAAAACCCTCGACTGGATGCTGAGAGCTTCAAGCAAGTTGTCTTACAGCAGCAAGGCCGCCATCTACAAGGCAATAGTTGTCCCAACCTTCGTATATGGTATCTCTCTATGGGGCTCCTCGGCGAAGACTACAAGGAACAAAATTCAGACCCTGCAGAATAAAGCACTACGCAGATGGACTGGAGCCAGCTGGTTTGTAAGAAACTCAGTCTTACATAGGGATTTAGCAATTCCCACAGTTGCTGAACTCATTGGGCGACACAGTTCAAGATACGCGGACAGACTTGCAGCGCATCCTAACCATCTCGCAAGCAACCTGGCTATAAACAACAATAGGCGAAGACTGAAGAGATTGCATCCTCTAGACAATATTAGAACTAATTAAGATAGTAGCTACAAGTGCAGAATAATTGGCATATCTGCCCTCCCATTAGTTAAGGTTTAGAGCTAAATGCGCTATAGAGTCTAAGACAATAAGCTGCAACAAAATAAAGAAATAAAAAAAAAAAAAAAAAAAAAAAAAAAAAAAAAAAAAAAATTATAAATTTATGAAAAATATATATTTTATGCTGTAAAAGAGTTTGGGCCTAGCAAAAATTTGGAGTATCTATTAATCTGTCAGAAAAAGCTTTCGCACAGGCAAGCAGGTAGCCGGGACATGGCTGCTGAGCTGGAGGCGAAGGCGGGCACAGAGCGAGAGGCTGGGCAGGCAGTCAGTCAGTCAATCGAACAATCAATCATTCGGAATGACAGCTACATCGACTTAAGTCAAAGGAAATGCGTGCACGCAGGCCAGGGATAGCTCCTTCCACCTGCCGAGATGTCTGCTCTGATACTTGCTCTCTCTCTCGCTGTGTCTCTTTCTTGCTCTCTTCTTTTCGATTTGCCTTCCCTTTTTTTGTGTTTTCCTGCTGTGCGCACACATGCATACATTGATTTATAAGCCTGGGCCGCCAAAAATTGAATGTTATTGCTTGAATGGCCGCAATTTACTAAAAAGCCTCGCCACGCCCACGCCCCACGCCCCACTCTCCATGCCCCACTGTAAGCACTCTCCGTGCTAGCTGTTATTTATGTGCACGTTTATTTATTAGATGGCCCCCAGACACTTGATAAAATTAAACGCAAATGGACGGCAATTTTGCATTTGGCATTTTGATTTTGACACGCGCTCCTGCGTCTTGCGGCAGCGGGACTTACCAGAAAGTAGACAGCGAATGGCATTACGACTACGGCGACCAGCAGATCGGCTATGGCTAATGATACTATAAAATAATTCGTAACCGTTTGCAGCGATCGCTCGCGACAGACGGAGAGGATGACCAGTATATTGCCGAAGAGCGTGAGGATCGGGAACAGGATCAAGATGAGCGCCCAATAATTGTGGTCCACTGCAAATAAAGACGAACAGCAATTAGAATACGATGCGAAATCATGCAAACGATATGGAAATACATTCGGACTACGAGCTCATTTGAATACTGCGCAAATATATTCAGCCCACTCGAGGCGTGCATGCATACGAATTCGGCGTGTCCTGGAACACTGAATGGGGTGAGAGACCGAAGCAGCCAGAGCAAAATATGAATATTTATTCTGTTATTGTGCCAGCGAAAAATCGATAATAATCGATTTACAGATGCTAGAGCAGGTATCACCTGACTCCGCTTTGAAATAGAGATCTGAGGGATTGAAGAGGTTTCATGGCTTATGAAAGTCTGACTTAGGGAAATATTTCCAAGCTGAGGACTTAATTTACATTTGAGATTGATCGATATTTATCGATTCCTAAATGTGTATATCCATATAATATATTTCGAGTGGCTCAGAAGTCTGTAATTTGGAGAGGAATGTGAAATGTGACACGAAATTCCGATTATTTATCAACCAGGACTATCGATAATAATCGATTTACAGATGCTGGAGCAGGTATCATCTGACTCCGCTTTGAAATAGAGATCTGAGGGATTGAAGAGGTTTCATGGCTTATGATATTCACGAAATTCCGATTATTTATCAACCAGGACTATCGATAATAATCGATTTACAGATGCTAGAGCAGGTATCACCTGACTCCGCTTTGAAATAGAGATCTGAGGGATTGAAGAGGTTTCATGGCTTATGAAAGTCTGACTTAGGGAAATATTTTCAAGCTGAGGACTTAATTTACATTTGAGATTGATCGATATTTATCGATTCCTAAATGTGTATATCCATATAATATATTTCGAGTGGCTCAGAAGTCTGTAATTTGGAGAGGAATGTGAAATGTGACACGAAATTCCGATTATTTATCAACCAGGACTATCGATAATAATCGATTTACAGATTTTGATATTTGAGCACGTGTGCAGCGTAGCTACAGGTCATGGCTTGCCATGGCTAACTGAGCTTATAAATCTAGTGAAATATCTGAGGCAAAGCTCCGAGCTCTGCAAATACTCACCAATTCGCAGTTCATGGCATTCCGTTGTCAGATTGAGCGTTGCATTCGTGCAATTGGTTCGATAGTTTTCAAAGTAGAGACTCGTCATATTCTGATCGAGTAGAACGCTGCTGGCCGTAGTCGTGCTGACTGTTGTGCCCGAAACCGTGCTGCCATTGTAGTTAGGAAAGTAATCGTTAAAGTTCTCTAGCAGCAGCATGAAGGAGCTGCCACTCGTGCTGGCACCAGCGCCACCGTCGACGGCGCCACCGCCGCCGCCGCGGTCTGCGGCAGCGCCGCCTGCTGCACCGGCTGCATGGGCGCCAGCTCCACTCATCCAGACGGCATTCGCATCGTAGCTGGCGGCGACTGTCGTCCGATTTGTTAACGTTGTCGCTGTGCGCTGCAGGAGTTCGCTGGTGGCATCCACTTCCGCATCCAGGCTGCCGCCATTGAACCCGCTCAGCACACCATAGTCCGCCTCGCCGTCGCCGACATTCTCCAGCGCGCTCTCCTCGGCACTGTCAATGAGCGCAATGTCCTGTGCATCCTGTGCCGACTCCCCATTCAGCTGCTGCTCCACAAAGTTACGCAGCGCATAGAGTCCGCCACCCTCGTCCTCACCGGCGCCTTCGAGATTGCTTCTGCTGCTGCTGCTGCTGCTGCTGCTGGTGACGTTGCTGCTGCTACTGCCGCTGGGCAGCGTGCTGTTCTGTACATCGCCCATGTCCAGGGTCAGCCAGCTAAGGGACTCATTGAAGCTGCTGACACTGCTACTGGTGGGGCTCGACGATGTTAGCTCGCTGCTCAGGCTGAGATTGTTGCCACCGGCGGCGCCCAGCAGCCATTCGCTGATGTCATCAATCAATGCATAGCCGGCCTCCTCTGCCGCCTGCGTTTCGTCCAATGCGCTGGCCACATCATCGTACAGGGACAGATAGCTGCTGGGCGTCGAGGAGCTGCCGACGCCCAGACTGTCGCTATCATTTCCAATTCCAATCCCAATCCCATCTCCATCACCTTCGTCCTCTTCTTGAAGCTCCGCCTCTGCCACGCCTTCCACATTCAGTTCGCTCGTGCGATTGTGCAACTGGCCAAGCAACTTGCCCGCCAGCGTTGTTGTTGTTGTTGTTGTTGTTGCTGCTGCTGCTGCTGCTGCTGTGGCTCTGGCAATTGTTGCTCGCACGGTACTTGCTGTTGCTGTTGCCGCTGCCGTTGCTGCTGGCACGACCACCGCGGCGCTGGCTGCCGAGGCCATGGCAGTCATCATGCCGCTGCTGGCCACACCCACCGTCGCTCTGCTGCCCTAGTGGGGCTCACCTAGAAGCGTAGAGCTCGCCGCACGCTGCACGCCAACGCAAAGCTTCCGCTGCATGTTTGCCACATTCTGCAAATGAAAAGGGCAAAAGCAGCAATTAGCACGACACACTCTAATGCTGCAGATGTCTAAATTAAATATTAGTAGCAACTGCATCCAGTTGACATTTAGTTGTTTGCTTCAATTTACTATTCCTCAGCGCTTTTCGAGCGGTCTCCGAGTTTCTTCCTCAACTAGGCAATGCCTGCTCTAAGCGCTCTGTTCTCACCTGTCGTCCTCACACAGCTCAGTTTCAGCTCAGTACTTTTCAATTTTTAATCTTTTTCTTCTTCTTTCAGTCACATTTTCTAGCATTTTATGTGACAATTTGTTAAAGTCTCTGAAGACCCTAGCTCTGAGTAGCAATTCTTAATGAAATTAAATAAGCTAAATAATAATGAAAGCTAAATATATATATAAATAAGCTTAATATATGAAAATATTTTTTACTATTAATTCTGAACTTTTCAATTTGCAGAAACTCTGACAAAGGCCAAAAGCAAGAGAAGAAAATGAAAGATGTGGCCAAGTCTAGCCCAGCTCAAGTTATATCTGAGCACAACAAGCTCGGACTGTATCTACTTCAGGCTGAACCTCTTGCTGCTTGGTTACAGCATTAGCAAAAGTAAATGTCATTACTAAAGTAATGATAAAGTATATATATATATATATATAAATTATATGATTTCCAGTCCTGTGGTGACTGAAAGTTAGGTTGAGAGGCGACTGTGCCTCTTATTGCTGGCCTCGGGCTCAGACAATGAAATAAGCCATTTAACGAGCAAATGACGGAGTGAATATTTATTTAAGCGGTTTACTGGAAGAACGCTTTTTAACCCTGCTTTTAATTGTTCTTTTTTGAATAATCGAAACAGTTAATTTTATTGGTTTTTCTTATTATATTCACTATTTTTAGTTTTACTTATATGACACCAATTTTTAGCATGTCCTATCAGTACGAGTTAAAACACGAGACTGATCTATATTTTTACAAATCATAGCCTCACCGGCGTAAGTAGAGTTGCTCTTGCCAGGGCTGTTCCTTAACATGTCTAGCACCCGATAATAAGTGTTGAATAATACCTTATATTAAGTGTTATAAGCTAACTAAGTGTTATAAGTTAACTACCCCCCCCCTCAAGTGTAAGGTCGTCCTCGACCGACCCAATTCCAGCGACGACTCCTCGCAAGTGCTTCGCGGACTTCTTTGCGTCGATGATCCACCAAAGAGTGAGGCCAATGCAGATTAAAGCACAGCATATGGCTCCTCTTTCGGAGTGCCGTACAACGGCACATCATCAAAGTGCACCATTTCGGTTCCTTGGTCGCATATTAGCAGCGGTGACCAGCGAGTCGGTGCAGGTGTTCTCGAATGAAATCCGCAAGTCGTTCTCATTCACATTCAATACGGAGCAGTATGAGCAGCGTACTGATTCTTCGCTATCGCCGTTCAGCAGGCGCTTACTAAGCTTGCTCTTGCGCCTACGTATGTGGCGTCTGTTGAAGCTGTTGGTGCCCGACGTGGACGTGAGCCTTGGCATCGGATGATGCACACCAAAGTTGTGCAGCCGCAGCGACTTGAGTGTGGCTGGCGCCGTCGATGACTGGCCGTGCACGTGCCCGTGATGGCCGTGATGACTGTGTCCCACCACTCCAGCGATGCTATGAGCCGTTACTGGACGAGTGATGTGTGTAGTCTGTCGGCGCGCTCAGCTGGCGATTGAATTCGGCCTTGCGGCGCGTCAAGTCCGTCAGGCAGTATTTGTTCAGATGGCCGTTGCTGGAGACAGGGCTCTTGGGCGATGATGCCAGATGCTGCGTATAGGCCGAAGGAGTTGCTGCTCACGCTTAGCTTATTGCCGGCGTTGTGCAGCAGATTGTTACAGTTCTTGCCGCTGATCTTGGCTGCCAGCGACTGCGACACCGGCCGACTTTTTGCTAGGCGCCCTGTACTCCTTGTCGTCGCTCTCGCTGCGCACCGATGCTCGATACGCAGGAAATGTCTTCGTCTTGCTCTTCAGCGAGCCGTTCAGCAGTAGCTGCTGTTGCCGTGCGGCAACTGCCGACAATGCCGGCCGCTGCAGTTGACGTGACGCCGCTGTGAAACTTCTTGAATTAATGCAGTTGGCGGTGTTTTGGGGATTTCTTGACTTGGTTCTAGTATGGATGAAGAGTCGCTTGGCTCTGCCGCCGCGAAGAACTCGTTAGTTGTTGCTTCTACTGTTGGTGGTGGTGCCGTGAACAAGGGGATTTCCTCAACGATTCCGCTTGTAGATTTGCCTGCTGTGGTTCTGGCTTAGCATCCAACTGTGGTGCGAATAGAGCTGTTGCTGGTCCTTGTGAAAATATGGGCAAACTCTGTGATGTTGGGAATAATGGAACTTCCGAAACAGGTGCAGTTGACGGTGGTGCAAATAGTGTAACCTCCTGATTTTGATTTGAAGAGCTCTTTAGCTCTTCCCTCTGAGTCGGTGACTTAAAAAGGTTGTTGCTTGTATCTGGTGTAAGTCCTTGTGTTGCGTTAGTCGGACTGGAAAAGAGAGGAACCTCCTGAAGTGTATCGGCTAGTGCTGGTGCAAAAAGCGATGTAGTTGCTTCGTGAGTCTGAAAGAGGCCCGTCGATGCCTGTGGTGTAAACAGCGATGTTGCTGGCCCAGTTGGGGGTGGTGCAGCCGCAACAGAGGAACTTCCTGGCTTGGCGCTGGTGCAGCTGACGGAGCTGGCGCTGTAAATAGGGCAACTTCTGTAGGCTGTGCTCCAAAAGGATTAAAAATAGCAGCAGGTGCTGCGAAGGGTGCAAAGGGCGTGGCTGTTAAAGCTGTTTGCTGGCCAAAGCCTGTTGCGGGCACTGCAGTTTCCTGAGCTGTCAGTGGACTCTTGTAGAGTCTGGTACCCTTCTGCAGGCGGTACGAGGAGTGTGCAGGTCCTGCCGCTGGTGGTGGTGCTGCTACTGCCGCTGGTGGGGGAGTTGCTGCAGCCACTGATGGCGGTGCAAACGTTGGAGTACTCTCGATTAAACCAGGTGCTTGAGCAGCTGTCAGTGGCTGAGGGACAGTGGCTACTTGGGTGACTGTCGGAGTCTGAGCGTATGTCGCTGGCGGAGCAGTTGCCCCAGGCTGAGTAAATGTCGGTGGTACCGCGGCTGGCGTTGGCTGAACACCGGTTGATTGCCCAGAAACAGCTGGTGCTGGCGTAAAGAAGTTACCAACAGACGGAGCTGCAGCAACTACGGAAGGATTGATGTAACCACCTACAGTGGGTGGTGCTACAGTGGGCGAAAAATAATCAGCAGCAGCAGGCGGAGCTGCAGGCGTAAAAAAGTTTGCAGGCGGCTGCGGTACGGCAGCGCCGGATGTGCTTATGTCAAAGTAGCCACCAGAATCAGCTGGATTGTAGCTGGCTGGTGGGGGTGGCGCAGGTTCGTTGGTTCTGCCTGTGGCCGATTGCACTAGACCCGAAATATTCTGTAACACGCCAGTGGGCACTAGACTAGTGAGTGAGAAGAGACCACCGCTCTTGCGTTCCTCTTGAACGGCTGGTGGTGCAGGCTGCTCGAATGCTGCTGCTGCCGCCGCTGCCGATGGCTGTGTGGGATATGGCGGTGCTTGGAAGGGATCAACAGCTGGCACTGGCTGCTGTTGCTGCTCGGAGAGACCTGGTATGGGTGCGTATAGCTTCTTTCTGGCACTAATGCGATAAGTGTTCTGTCCGGCCCCACGTTGGGCGCCAATTATATGGTTTCCAGTCCTGTGGTGACTGAAAGTTAGGTTGAGAGGCGACTGTGCCTCTTATTGCTGGCCTCGGGCTCAGACAATGAAATAAGCCATTTAACGAGCAAATGACGGAGTGAATATTTATTTAAGCGGTTTACTGGAAGAACGCTTTTTAACCCTGCTTTTAATTGTTCTTTTTTGAATAATCGAAACAGTTAATTTTATTGGTTTTTCTTATTATATTCACTATTTTTAGTTTTACTTATATGACACCAATTTTTAGCATGTCCTATCAGTACGAGTTAAAACACGAGACTGATCTATATTTTTACAAATCATAGCCTCACCGGCGTAAGTAGAGTTGCTCTTGCCAGGGCTGTTCCTTAACATGTCTAGCACCCGATAATAAGTGTTGAATAATACCTTATATTAAGTGTTATAAGCTAACTAAGTGTTATAAGTTAACTTATATATATATATATATATATATATATATATATATATATATATATATATATATATCAGACAACAGATTTATATATGTATATGCCTAAGTTAAATAACTCAGCAGATGTGACGCTTAATTCCTATGAAGCGTTGCCAAGACGTCGCCGATTTCATGCAATATATATATATATATATTTCCAACTAAGTATTAGACCAAATAATTTATGTAAAATAGAATATATGCAGCTAGAACAACATTAAAAATAGTTTTCTTGCATTTCTATTAGCCACTACTATTTTTATGAACAACTAAATTTTGCTTTACATTTTCACTTTGCTCCAGACACAGAACACAGAAACAGCTAATAACTAATAATAAAATATGTTAATTTTGTGAACAATGCTGCAAGTTCATAAATGTATAAATGCAGCTGCTTCATTTGTTTAATAAACAACTAAAATGAATTGCAACTGTAATTGGTTTATAAAAAACAGAAGAGGAAGCAGCTGAAGAAGAAAATATTATTGTTGTGGCGCTTGTTTGATCGATTGCTGTGGGCGATTTATTTTAAATATGAATAACATTGGCAGGAAGTACAGTGGACACAGCTGGCAGCGCCAGCCACGCTGCACGCAGGTTTAATTGCAATTGCATTTAAATCGCAGCGCACAGCAGAGAGCGAGAGAGCGAGAGCGTGTGTGTGAGAGAGCGAGCGGGCGAGAACAGACAGCGAATTCGCTTTATTTAATGCTGCCTTCTGCGCCAATGCAATTATCTATCCATCTCTGTAGTTGGCCGGCCCCGCACGTTTAATTACCCTTTAATCAATTTATTGCCAATTATTCTACAAAAAGCGGCAACGAAAATTG